CTCGAGAAGCTCCACCACGCCAGTGCTCCTCCTTCCCCCAGGATCGCCACCCAGAACTGTGACCCAGATCCAAGCACAGGCAAAGCAAGAGAAATCTCAGCACCAGCAGAAATCTGTGCAATCCCCCTCTTGATCAGCCACTCAGAGTGATTCCCCCTCAGTCTGTAGGCTGGAAGCAACAAAAGGATCCGCTGCCCCAGGACTGGGGCTGGACCTAGCTTCTCTTTTTCTCTCTCTCTTTTTCTCCCCCTTCCCCTCCCCCCTCTCTGCCTCTTATATCATGGTCACACACTTTTGCTACTGACCTAAGTTGTCTTTGGCTTTTGTCGGTTGAGAGGTCTGGAAACCGCCACAGCTGCCTGTGATTCGGTCCCCTGAGTCCTGCTCCAGGTTTGCTGAGACCTGGTGTTTGCTTCTGCATGCGCCCACACTGGCTGAACTGCATTTCTGTCCCAGCCTGGCGCAAGAGACGTTTCTAATCAACCATCCAGGTTGTCTTGGGCTGGAAGTTTGTTTCACTCTGTCTTTTTGTGGGTTCTGCTGCTCTAGAATTTGTTTAGAGACATTTTTTACAGAAGGCTTTGGGGGAGAGCTCAAGCAAGTCACTGCTTTTACTCCACAATCTTGGCTCCACCCCTTAGATGGCATTTTTCATAATTCCTTTGGAATTGTCTTGGATTATTGTATTGCTGAGAATAACCAAGTCATTCATAGCTGATCATCTTATAATTCTCCTGTTACTTTGTACCCAGTACATTTCACTTCACATCAGCTCATGCCAAGTCCAGGTTTTTCTGAGGGCATCCTGCTTGTCATTTCTTATAGCACAGTAGTATTCCAATCATATACCACAATTATCTCTTCAATTTCTAATTCTTTGGCTCTATAAAATAAGCTGCTATAAATATTTTTGTACATATAGGTCTTTTTGCCTTTTCCTTTTTTTCCCCCCCTTAATTTCTTTGGGACACAGACCTAGTGGTGTTGCTGGGTCAAAGAGTATGCACAATTTTATAGCTTATATCCTTTTGTGCATAATTGTGAATTGCTTCCTGGAATGGTTGAATCAATTTACCACTTCAGCGTAGATGGTTTAGTGTCACGGTTTTCCCATGTCCACTCCAACATATGTAATTTTCCTTTTCTGTCATATTAGCTAATCTGATAGGTTTAGGGTGGTACCTTAGAGTTTTAATCTTCATGTCTCTTAATTAGTAGTGATTTAGAGCATTTTTCATATGACTATAGATAGCTTTGATTTCTTCATCTGAAAATGACCTGTTATTATTCTCTGACCATTTATCAATTGGAGAGTGACTTGTACTCTTACAAATTTGACTCAGTTCTCTCTATATTTGAGAAATGAGACCTTTATCAGAGATACTTTCTCTAAAAATTGTTTCCTAGCTTTCTGCTTTCCTTCTAATTTTGGTTGCATTGGTTTTGTTGGTGCAAAACTTTTACAGTTTAATAACTTATGTTGTCTTAAAGGGTACCCAGGGCACTTAAACACCAAGTGATTTGCCTATGATCACATTATTATATCAGAAGTTGGGCTTGCCTACTCATAACCTTTATGTGATAGATCTTGGAACTTCAAAACTAGTATTCTAATTCCAAATCCAATGCTTTAAAAAAAAATTAAAACTATACTGATCTGTTGGAGAAAGCTTGAGGAATATAAGCCTTTTCTAGGTTGATGGCTCTGATTTGTATCAGTTGAAATAGGATAAATAGTTCTTATATGTCTAAGGGCAAGAAGTTATATATTAACATCTATTGTAGACTTTTTCTCTTGGTTGATCTAGGAAATATGGTGTTATCTTTTAATTCAAAATTTTTCATTCTAGCAGTGGCTAAGACAACAGCATAGATTTTCTTATCTCAATTAACGCAATGTTTCTTAAGACTCAGTTCTCAAGGAAGGGGATGTGTAGTATTTATTTATCTCTTCCACTAAGTGTAAAATCCCCAGATAATTTAGGTCTGTATAAGTGATTGGCGAAGACTGTTGATTTTTTCCTTCATCATTTCATGGCAGAAACAGCACAAATATTGTTTCCCAGCAAGTAGTATAATAGTAGACCTTTGCATTACTGTTTCCCTCCTAAATATTTAGGCACTGTTTCATTAAAAGCAGTGTGATGTACTACATGGGGCAAAATTGCTATGAAAGCACTAGTAGAGTGAGTGTATTAGTCTGGTTGTCTGTTTATATACCTTAAAGATATGGTACATTGTTAAGTGTTTTGTGCCCTAAACACCAAATTTATTCCACATGTGGAACTCTATAAAATATTCTGTAAGCTGTTTAAAAAACAATCACTAAACAAAATGAGTTCAAGCATTAAATTAAAAAAAAATTAGTGTGCTATTTGCATCATGTTAAGATGAAGGTAGGATTATATTTATCTCTAAATGATTCATACCCTTTAATTAGTCTCAGTACTGGGCAGTTGCTATTAATTAAATAATTCCATAGGTGGCCTTTTTGAGAAAAAAAATTCTTTTACTGGTGGGGGAAGGGAACAGAATAAGCATTTATATGGTGCTTACCATATAACAAACGCTGTGCTGAGCACATTCACAAATATTTCATTTGATCTTCATAATAATTCTTCGAGGTAGGTGCTATTTTTATGTCCCCATTTTATAGTTGAGGTAACTGGGGAAAACAGAGGTTTAGTAACTTGCCCAGGGTCACACAGCTAGCAAATGTGTGGGATTAGATTTGAATTCTGGTTTTCCTGACTTCAGACCTAGTCCTCTATCTTCTCTACTACTAGATGCCTTCTCAGTATACTGTCACATTATCAGCAGGTAACATAGTTGTAAGAAATGTATTTGTTGTTGATATATTTCAACATGTGTATAACCAGAAGTGAGAATGCCACAAACATAATTAATGTGTATAGTATATATGTTACTATACTGAAAAATCTGAATTTTTCTTTTCTTCAAATATTAATTTATTTTGATTTATCAACAATCACCTCCATAAGCGTTTGAGTTTTAAATTTTTTTCCGCTTCTGTCCCCACCAACCTTTCCAAGACGGTGCACAATCTGATATAGGCTATATATGTATATGTTCCTATTAAACATATTTTCACATTAGTCATGTTGTAAGGAAGAATTATAATCAATAGAAGGAAAAATCTGAATTTTCCAACATTAAATTAGGATACTTCTGCTTGTATGAGGTCATTGCAAGATGTCCCTGGCAACATTGATTTCATTTCTAAACAACCATACAAGGGATGACCACTCTCTGGCAGTTTTGCTGTTAGTGTAAAGAGGGACCCAGGCTCCCTCCTCTGGTTACAAATGAGTATACACACATAACATTTCAAGTAGTGATAACTGGTTTTTTTATTAATCATTTACACATGTATGAAGTTAATTGTATTTAACAACCAAAGGTGTTCATATTTGGAATAGGAAATTGCTTTTTACAAATTTCAGATGGAGAATATCAGGTTTGGCGCATAGTGTGTAGGAATAATAAAAATTATTATTATTTTTTCATTTGATACATATATCAGTTGTTAGGTATTTAACCAGTGATCTGGTTTTCGATACTGTTAGAAAATTTTTCTGTATGATTGTTTTGGATGGATCAGAGTTTTAAAAAAAAGCAATTTTATATTCTGTGTTTTACACTGTTCTACTTCTGTTGATGATTTCTCATATTCTGGACCATCAATAGTTTTAACACCATTAATAAGACCAATAAAAAGAGAAGAGAACACATTAAAAGGACTGGGTTCCGTCATGGTTGTTAGTTAATACCTTTCTGACCCTGGGCAAGTCAACTTAAGCTTTGTGGGCTTCGTTTTCTGCAATTGTAAAGGATAGGAGTTTGACTAGATGATCTTTTAAGCTCTTTCGATATTTCAGCAATAAATGTATGTTCCTATGAAATGGCTTCTGAATTATTATTGGTTGGTAGCATAGTTGTTTTGGAAATTTGAATCTACCGTTCTTTGTGCAAATTGGTTTTAGTCATTTTTTGTTTGTAAACTGTAATAACAATTGAAGTGAATTAATTCCCAGCAGTTTTAGATGTGAATGTTCCTCCATGAAATTTTTCTTTTGAAGACTTGCCCAGTGCTCAGATAATATACTTGGAAGCAAAACAACTTATATACTTAAGAATTTGATACTTATATAACATGATTTTTCCTGCTTCCAAATAATTAAGTTGTTGGCTCTTGTAATAAATACATAATCATAGTGTCACGCAAGATTTAAATTGGATTTTGAATGATGTCAGTTTTAGCCATTTTTATTCCTTGCCTTACATTAAGAAAAAAAAAGCTTCATTGCAGTGTTTTCCCCATTTGCTTTTGTCTCTTGGGGGAAAAAAACCCTTTAGGAAGGTGCATGGATACAGGAATCTTCTGCTGATCCTACTTTGGAGAGTGTAAGGGAAAGGAAAGGAGCAGATTTCCAGAAAAAATGGCTCAGCATGATGTACTAATATTAAACGGCCGCTAATGTGTAGCAGCAACCTAGAGGCAGAACATCAGTTCCTTAAAAGAAGGGGAATATTTTATTTATTCTTGGCATCTACCTCTTGGGACTTGTTAGAAGGAGTAGTTCTGTGAGTTCTTTAGGAACCACACCTGAATGTTTTAAATTAGAGCCTCTGGGGAAAGTTTCTGAGATGTGGGGGCAGTGGACAGAGGAAGGAAATGAAAGAGGTACATGCAATAGAAAAGCAGAGTAGTATTCATTAAGAAAATAGTTTATGGGGCAGCTAGGTGGCTCATTGGATACAGTACTGGCCCTGAAGTCAGAGAGGACCTGAGTTCAAATCCGGCCTCAGACCAAACACTTGACACTTACTAGCTGTGTGACCCTGGGCAAGTCACTTAACCCCAATTGCCTTAAAAAAAATTAGTTTAAACCTGATATCGTTTAGCAAGTGAAACATAGAAGGAATAGACACTTTTATTTCTTGCTATATTCTTAATCATGTATTTTAATTTTTCCTAGGTTTCATTAAATGGTACCCAATTTGCTGACGGCCCTGTTGGTTCAGATTTCCCAGGTGTTTCTCAGGTATGAACAGTGTGTTATGGGATTGTCTAATTTGAGATTTATTCAGAGATTTCAGTATAGAAGGGGCAGAAAGTTGATCTTTGGAGTACATGGCTGTTCCTTTGTGTATTTATTGTTATTCATTCCACAAACATTTAACAGCAGATGTATGCAGAACATTATATGTGAACATTATGTGCAGAACATTATCCTTGTCTAGGTACTGAAGAAAAGAAAGAAATAGCACACACCTTGCCCTCAGACTAACTGTTAAAGTAAAAGATAAATAATTATATAGAATAGAATGTAAGTGCATAAGAAATATGCAAATCTGATGTGCAACATCAGAGGAAGGAGCAATGGCTTTCAACCCAATAGGCTTATTAGGAAAGCTTTCCTGGAAGAAGTCGTATTGGGTCTCCACGCGGAAAGAGTAAGATTTCTTCACACAGAGATGAAGAGGATAGGGTATTCCAGGCATAGTAGAAAGACATAGAGGTGCTTTTATGCAGTAAGTTGTCCAGTTTGGCTGTCTACAAGAAAGAGAAAGGGGTATGTTTGGAAAATAATGCTACTGGTTTAGGTTAGGGGAAAATTGTAGAGTGTGGAAGTAAGATTAAAAAGGTTTAAGTGAGTGTTTGGTAAGACCGTCAATAAATATTTACCAAGCTTCTGCTATATTCCAGGAATTGTTCTGAGCTCTGGGGACACAAAGAAAGGCCAAAAAAAAGCTCTGCTTTCAAGATGCTCAATCTTATGGGGAAGACAGCATGTAAACAACTGTGTACAAGCAAGGGTTAGAGATAACCAACTGAGGGAAAGCACTAGCAAGCATCAAGGGGGATTGGGAAAGGCTTCTTAAGAGTAAAAGGTGAAATTTTAACTGAGCCTTAAAGGAAGCCAAGAGAGAGAGATGAGGAGGGAGAGAAAAGGCACAGGGGACAGCCACTGAAAATGACCAGAGTCAGGAGGTGAAGTATCTTTTCTAAAAAGTAGCAGCAAGACTGGAGTCCTTGATTTGCAAAATACTTGAGGTTGAGTAAGGTATAAGAAGAATGGAAAGATTGGAGTAAGATAGGGTAGGAATGCCAAGGAGAGGATTTTATATTTTATCCTGGAGGTGATCATAAAGATTTATAATCAAGCTTAATAAAACTTCGAAAAGAAACTTAGGCTCTTTAAATATGAAGGAAAATGAGCCAGTATTACTGAATGAATGTGAGAGAGAGAGAGAGAGAGAGAGAAAATCCTTTCAACTCCGTAAATCATGGGACAATAACAGGAATCTCCAGAATTAAGAGTGAGGGGAAATTGGGACAGAGCTCATAACTTTTAATGCAGAATTAAAAATCACAGAGCATAAAAAATTAATACATGTTGGAGAATTTCAAAAGAAGTATAAGCTCAGAAAAGCTATTGAGAACACAGAAATACTAAATTGGAGGGAAATGTGACAGAAGAGAAGCAGAAGGCAACATGTTAATATAATAGTCCCTCATGATAGATCAGAGCTACTGACCTTAAAGATAGAAGGCACAGAAATGACAAGGAATAGAGATCTCCCAGAAAAACATAACAGATTATAAAAACCCTGAAAGAAAAAATATAAATATCACCTCATATCAATAATATCTAATGATATATGAGGATCAAATGAGATAATTTTTTTTAAAGCCTTTAGCCCAGTCCCTGATACATGGTAGTAGTATAAATGTATATCCTTGTCCTCTTCCTTTCCCCTAATATAACAGAGACAGACAGAAAGAGACACACACACACACACACACACACACACACACACACACACACACACACAGTGACAGTGTAGTGTTTTGTTATTCAGTCGTTTCAGTCATATCTGATTCTTCATGACTCCATGTCTTGTCAAAAATTCTGGAGTGGTTTTCCATTTCCTTCTCCAGTTCATTTTACAGATGGGGAAACTGAAGTAAACAGGGTAAAAAAAGACTTGCCTAGAATCACACAGCTAGTAAGTGTCTGATTAGAACTCACAAAGATGAGTCTTCCTGGCTTCAGGCCCAGCACTGTATCTGCTGTACTGCTAGTTGCCTCCATAATAAGTAGTACATTACCAGAATAATACAGTACCTCAAGAAATAACATAATAAATTTTCCCCAAATTTCTTAATATAGATAAAGCAGTCATTAAGAGAATTCACAGATTTTCATTCACTAAGGGGGGGCGGGGCGGTGAACCCAAACACATAAGCATAGTCCAAATTCCTATACTGGTGGTAGTTTAATTGGACAATTTCAATAGCAAATTCTTTGCATATCCAGGAAGAAGGTATACAAATAAGTAAGAAAAGTAATTTGAATAATAGTTGATTGCATATTCATGAGAAATTAAGAGAGAATGGAATGGCATATTCCCAGAAAAGTAAAGGAGCCCAATCTACAATATAAAGTAACATATCCTTCAAACCTCAACTTCAGTGAGGAAAAAAAAAGATTTAACAAAAGAACTGTTGGAGGGTATAGATGTGTGTGCAGAAAGATGAATCAATTTGCCAACAGCCTAAGTAAGTGAAAAACAAGGAAAGCAAATAAGAATTAAACAGTGAAATTTATTATCTCATGTTTATAGCCTCTTGTTTAAAAAGAGAGGCTGATCTCTGGGATAAAAGAGAAAAACAGAAGGTTCATCAAGGGACACAAGTACACAAAGAACTAAAGATTGAAGGGGATTTTCCTAATCAGAAGGAAAGGAGAAAGAGTTGATTTAGTATTCTATGTACTAAATCCCTGATCCGTTCAGTGTCTTTTTTTAATCCATTTTTTTTCCCTGTTAACAAGCATTATTTTCTCTGTCTACCTTTGCTTTCTCCCTCAAAAGAAAAACAAAATCCTTGGAAAAAATATATATAATAAAGCAAAACAAATTCCCACATTGTCCATGCCTAAAAAAAAAAATGTTTCATTCTTCACCCTGAGTTTACCATCTCTCTATCAGAAGGTAAGTAGCATGTTTCATTATCTGACCTTTGGGATTGTGGATTCCAAATGAATCGTGAATGACCAGAGTTCTTAAGTATTTCATAGTTGTTTATTTTTATACTGTTGTTGTTACTATATATATATATATATTTTTTTTTTCCTGATTCTGTTTGCTCTGCATCAGTTCGTAGCAGTTTCCCCAGGTTTCTCTGAAACTGTCTCATCATTTCTTATGCCACAGTAGGTCTGCATTGCATCCATATAGCATAATGTATTCTGCCCTTCCTTAATATAGTCCTACTGACACTTTAGTTTCTATTTTTTTTGTATCCTCAATGAGAATTGCTATGAATATTTTTGTGTATATGGGTAGTCTTTTTCACCTTTCTTTGATATCCTTGGGGTAGAGAGCTAGACACTGGATCACTGAGTCAACGGGTACACATAGCTAACTAACTTTTTGGTCATAGTTCCAAACTGCTTTGCAGAATGACTGGATTGATTTAAATCAGTATCTTTCTTGTAGATATGACAGTTTCTCCCAAGTGGGGAGTTACATGAATGGGGAATGGGAAAGCAAATGAGGGAAGAGTAATACATGCCTACCTTGTCTGTTAGTGAATAATAAAAGAATAGTGAATTGTAGTCAGCAAGATAGAGAGAGCAAGTGGCAGGAGAATAGGAAAACAGCACTGGAAGTCTTAGGACTGTATAGATTGGAGGAGAAGAGAGCTATGAAGACAAGACAAAATTTCTTGGGAGTGTACAGTAAAAGAAAGTATACAAAAGAAAGTTTAAACCAGAGTTTAGAGGGAAGCAGAAGGGGAAGATTTTTAACTGCTTATGTAACTGTGAGGGAATGAGAAGGATAAAAGAGGAGAAGAAATGGATCAATGAGCAGAAAGAAAAAGAAAATTAAGTTTAAGTAAATTCAGAGAACTTGGGATTCAAGAACTAAGGAAACGAGTGGATATTTGAAGGTATTCGCCTATGGGAATAGACTAGCAAGTGTTGGCTTAAGAGGGACTAGATCAAAAATGCAAAAGAAATAAAAATTCATACTATAAAGAAAGATAAACAGGGAAACTACAGTGTTCTTAAGGGAACATTTGACAGTGAACCAGTATCAACACTTAACATATGTGTACTAAATAGTATGACAATTAAATTCATAAAGGAACAGTTGCTTGAATTAGAAAGACAAATGGTAAGAAATTATAACAACCTTTCGTATTACTCTGAATTGGACAAATCTGAAAAAGATAAATAAAAAGAATAATATAAAACTGAAAAATCAGAGTGTTAAGAACTGAAAAGCTTAAGGCATCTTCTGAATAGAAACATTCAAAAATACCCATTTTCTCAGCACCAGGTAGTACCTTTACAGAAACAGATCCTGGGACAGAGAAATTATAAACAATGAGAAAAAAGCAGAAATACTAATCTTCTTTTACTAGATTATATTGCAGCATATATAGTAATTTTTATTAGAAATACAAGCTAAAGATGTTGACCTAAACTAGACTTAACAGTGATATTCTAAATAAAGAATAGCTCAAAGAACAAATTGTAGGAATAGAAACCTGTGTGAAAGAGAATGATAACAATGAGACAATGGACCCAAATTACTGGGATGCAGATAAAGCAGTCCTTTAGGGAAAAATTATATTTGTGCAATTGTACATTGACAAAATAGAAAAAGAAATGATTGATAAACAGAATATACTTTTAAAAATTAATAAACCTTTAGTTAACTTGATTAAAAAGGGAAAATGAAATTATTAAAGTGAACAAGGTAAAATCACAAAAAATGGAAGAACTAAAATAACTGTTAGAACCTATAATACGTAATTGTGTGGCAGTGGAACTGAGAATTGAAAAAGAAATGGAAGATTATCTATAAAAACTATGTCACACACAAACTAACAGAACATGAAATAGATTTTAAACAACCCCTTGTTTTAAAGATGAAGGGAATAGAGAGGTTCTTGCCCAGAGTCATATCATAAGTGTTTGAGAGAAGTTTTGAACTCAGGTCTTTCCGACTTCATCTCCAGTGCTTT